TTCTACTGAGCACCGATAGTCTAGATCAGATGTTTCCAAAGTAATTTTTGTTACACTCCCTTTGACCTAAAATAATAGTGTCCCCCGTGGCGTAAGTATGCTAACACGTAAAAAGAAAGAGAAAAACAAAGAACAAAATAAATAATTCATGGACATTTTTTTTCTCACTTATCAATGCAATGGATGAGTTTACATTTTTTACAAGTCTTTATGGCTACAAATACTGAAAATGCCGCTTCACACAAGTAAGTGCTTTGAAAAAGCCAAAATAGCTTTACTGCTTCCTCTGCTGTGGTAAATTTCGAGATGCTTTACCCAAACGAGGGCTTACTTATGTTCTCAAAATCATATATCGCAAAAGAATATGTTTGTATTAGCAGTGCGCATCTATTTCAACGCGAAAGGGATCAATCCCCAGAAGGTAAAAACCGTGGTCGTACGAGTTAAGAAAGCGGTCATCAGTAAGATGCTACATTGCGGCATTGATAACGGTTTTATCATAAATCATCTTGAAACGCTCTTCTTCTGTTATTGGTAATAATATGGAAAATCAGGAAAAACTGCATACAAAAATTCAGTGATTTTGAAACTGAAACTTACAAATGCATGCGGTTATAGTGTCCCGATGACATATTGCCCGCATTGATCAATTTTGCCCCTGTTTAGTAACTTGACCCAATTTTTCTCAACATTAATCTGACTATTCGCAGAGCGCGTCGTCACGCTCCCACCTTTGAAAACCAATACTCTAGATCATACCTCACTTTGTCACCAAAACGATATTACAGAATCAACAACTGAAACTATATTTTGTCAAAGCTTGACAAATGTAGTACTGTTATCTAGTACAGAGGCTTAGATATGTTTTAGTACTTATACTATCTTCACACAATTCAAAACAGAAGTTCTGGAAAGCCTTATCAGGGAGTGTTTGATAACAAATAGTGAAGGATAAGAAACAGGGTCATTGCAGGAAATCAGCATAATCTTATGATATCTAACAATATCGTGCTTGGTTGATAAACGTGAGGGACCAGATGCTGTATGAGATCTCAACACTTACCTATTATGTTGCAAGATCACTACCAAGTCATCCAGTTGAACTCACCTGCAACAGAAAAAAAACATTAACTCACATTTTTGGAATCAGAAACAAAAACTATGAATTTTTAATAATAATCCATTATCGCCTCTGTGATAAAGAATAAATCTGATGATTCAAGACAAGAGATGAAACGTCAGATTATGATTCTAATCATACCACCTTGTAGAGGAGGAAAAGCGGCAATTTTATTTAGTAATTAATTTCAAAGTCACATAAATAAGGTCAGGAACAAAACGACCTTGAGAAAATTAGTTTTCTCTTCGTCTTTCCCTAGAAATACTATCAACTGCAAATCTTTAAAAGTGTTATTTTCTCAGTTATCTAAAAGCCCGACTCTGCCATTCTACAGACTTCATACCTCTTACCGTTTGCGAGATGTCGAGAGTCGAATTTGAAACACGTGATATGGTAATGTCGATGAACTACACTCACCGAACTACAACGTGGAAGTGCAAAAAATAAATTAGAGGTATAGCACGGTATCCACGTCGAGGTTCGTTAGGCTACGCTAGAGCCACGATGCGATTTAGGAGACATGATGTGCCATGTCACGCTGTGAAATTAGAGCTGATGTTTTACAACAGGAGATCTCGCTTTCAAAGAGAGAGATTCGTTTTTGGGATAGTACTGGTGCCAAAATTAGGTATTCGTTCACCTTGCTTGAAAGTTATCGACTTCTGATAATATACTGAATGACAAAAAAGGTAAGCACGTACGTAAGCTTATACGATTTTAATATTTTTTGGCATAAATGTTCAGTGTCCCTTATTAGTAAAACGATTCAATTTTCAACATGATTCCTCAACTGACTGCAGATCAATCAATCATTAATGTGTTGAGGATCCACGATTTCTTATTCATCCATTGTCACGCTGGGCATCGTGCTGATAAGGTGGTTGATCTTCTGTTGGGGTATCTCGTTCCAGGCTACAGCAACTTCGTGAATAAAAGCTGCAAAAGTCAGTGGAGGGTATTGCAAATTCAAGAGCCGGCGAGATATCATGTAGCAGACATGTTCAATTGGAGATAGGTCGGGAGATCGTGCGGGTAACATGCGGTCTGGCATTGCCTTGCTGAAAAATTGGGTTTTGGATGGTGTTTAGGTATGGAATAAGATAATGCACCACTACTTCCTGAATATAGCGTCAGGCTGCCATATTGCCTCTGATGAAAATTAGTTGTGATCCGCTTCCATAAGCAACGGCAATCCATACCATAACTCCCACGGTGTGGTGAACGTGTCTCTCTCTGTCAAATTGTGTCACGTCTTTCACCACGTCGTCTTCTCACTCTTGCATCGTGCATCCCCACACAGAAGCGGGATTCGTCACTAAATACCAGCTGATTCCATTCCCGGTCCCAAACAATTCTTTCTCTGCACCAGAGCAAACTGTTACATGTTCAGCTGTGAGAGGTAGCACCCAGAGGTATTAACCGGCAGTCTTGTCACTCTGTGGTCCCTCTACACGAAATTTAACATTTAACTGACTACGTAAATGTATCAAAACTGAATGCTACTTTATCACCAAACAATACAAGCAGCCACCACAAAAACTTAACAGAAAAACTAGACCATTTAATCACTTGTTGTTCATGGCAAGATAGGTGTATATTGATATGTAAAAAACTCTTGAATTCTAATGAACATACGTAGGTGTTTACCTTTTTTGTCGCTCAGTATATCAGGTAGACACTGGTCTGTTTTGTTCACCATAACGATTCCTTATCATATCGAGCGCCTCACGCCATATAGGCGTAAACGCCACTTTGGACCAAAATCACTTTTCCTCATGAGTCGATACGTAATAGTATGGTGCATAAGCTGACCAAGAAACGCAAAATTGTAAAGGCATATACGCCAATTCTATCACCTTATCATAATTATTATATCTACAAGGCGATGACATAGTGATGATTCGAACTAGGAGTGTTCACAGAATCGTCCAGAGCACCTTATTCCAGGAAGTCGCATCTGCTCGTAGGCCTACTTTGATTCGTTTTGTGCAATTCTTGTTAAAAAAGGACCCATTTTAACGAAAATGCAAGCTACCAGGCTTAAAATTCCTCTACAAAGTCCCAAAGCATTGTTGCTAGTTATTGTTAATCAATCGCGCACTCAATAGAGATTGTTTCGCGAGATCCCGTAGTGAACCGGAGCGGGAACAGATGGAATTTCCCCTTCCTCTCGAAGTTTTGACAGTTTCAAGTTACACCGGGAGTGGTTAGATGGCTTTGTTGCGCAAAATGTTTGCTTTAAGCTCCTTGAAAAACTTAGCTGCTTTGTTTGAATCTGAAATAAAAAGACCGATCGTTTTTTGTGCAATGTACATATATATCAAACATTTGGTATGACAAGTGCGGTTCATATATCTTCGATAACCTTCTCCCTCGTCACTTAAAATCTGGTGGACGTGTTCCTCCATTTATGATTTAATAATTTAACTCAATTTTCGGCACTGCGAAGACAAATTTTCAATTGAAATGCCTGTTTTTTAAATGAAATTTACATAAGACCTGTCGCCCGCTAGCACCTCACAGACGTTAGGCGGGTACCCGTACCACGTGATTTTTTGACATTCGGACGACGTCACATCCGTCCTCCCCTATTCCCGTTCTTCGCAAAAATTTGGGTATCGGTTCCCGGTAGTGCACTGTGGTACACCGTGGACTCGCGAAAAAATCCTTGATGTATATCCTGTGAGAGCACGAGAGAGATGCATCATATCAGCTGTCACTTTTTCGCGCGCGCTTTTTCTTTAGACCGAAGCAACCGCGCAGACAGAAGCTAAATGCCACGGCACCGCGGCTCCTATGATGATCTTAAAGAAACTTTGTTAATCCGATTTTTGAACAAGCTGAGGTAACTACAGCTGGTAAAAACCTCTCCTCATGTAGATTGTTCCACAATGGCGATAACCTAGAGACAAAGGAGCGGTCGTATCGGCCAGTTCTGAATGTCCGCTACGGTAGGGATCGGAGACCGAAGTCAGGCGTGTAGGCTTGATCGCGGTGGACAACTAAAATAGGATATTTCGTAGTACTTCAAGCATCAAATCGCTTATATCTCGAAAATTATTGTTCAGAATGACCCAAAAACTCAACAAATTGTCGAAACAATTTTTGGCCCGGCAACATGCATATCCCGCAAAAGGGGTCTTTTTTTTTATAACGCGGCCTCAGACGTTCAATATTATTATGCAATGTGGCTTGCGCAATATTGTGACGCTGGCCCATAGGCGGTCAATATTGCTGTACAGTATTTTGGTTTGTACGAAATCGTGAGCAGAGACGAACAAGCACATTGTGCAAACAGCCTTCGTCAGAATTTCACGCACTGTTGTTGCGTGAAAGTGAGTTGTATTGCGTGGTAATCGCTGTGATCGCAGGAAAGAAAAAGGGCTCAGGCTTATCGACAGGAAAAAGTACACCCACGAGAAATTACCCAATAAACTGAGAATAGTTGAACCACATGATTTCCGCAACATTTGTCGAATGGACGGAGAATTGTTTGATGAACTCCTCATTCGAATGAATTGAGACCAACTGGTGGAATATTGCGCAATGTTGCCAACAGACGGCACAATATATTTCAGTTTGCACAATATATTTTCACGATACCGCACAATATATTGCACATGATTTCAATATCGCCCACGTACAATCAATTATATTGCACAAACTAAAATATCGCACAATATTGTTGAACGTCTACAGGCCGCTAAGATTATGCAAAAAACCCGAATCGGAATGATATCCGAGAGGTAAGGGTGCTGCCGATGCCCTAGGAATTATTAGAGTTTAATAAAATGTATAGCATCATGTAAAGATACGATATAAGTTTTGTATAAAAAATTGTATCTGATCAAATGTCTCTGCAATAGCAAATACTCGTACAATGATCTATAGGACAGACTGTACTTCAACCTCAGCTCACGCATGAAGTGCTGGTACGAGGGATGTCTTTTAAGTTTTGCATGTGGAAATAAAACAACACGGTAGGTAGTATTAAATGACTTGTTTTTCGAAGTATTCTCCACGAAGATTAATACACATCTGCATGCGCTCGAACCAATTTTCGAAGCACTTATTCCACTCGTTTGCTGGCAGATCCAAAACGGCATTTTTAAATACGTCAACTGCTTCTTCTGGTGACTGGAACCTTTGACCACGCAGTCTGTTTTTAATTTTCGGGAAAGTAAAGAAATCGTTAGGACTTAGATCGGGACTATATGGAGGATGGCCTAATAATTCCACATTTTCTTCCGTTAAATACTGCCTTGTTTTTTGGGCTGTGTGCGAGCTTGCATTGTCTTGTTGGAGGATGATTCTTTTTTCGGGGTTGATTTCACGAAGATCGGTGACCCGCTTTTGTCGCGACCATCTTTTTCGAAACACTTCGACAACGGTTGACTTTTATTGGCTTTTCCACTACTAACAATGCTGTACACATTTTTTGAGTTTCCGGAATTGAAACGGTCAAGCGTTTTTTGGCACCAATTGACCCTGGCTGCTTTCTACTCTTCAGTCAACAGGTATCCAAAGAGAAACTAATTTTCTTACTCCTAATTCTTCATGTCAGATTTGTTGAATTGAGGTCTTTGGGATCTTCAAGACGCTTCAATCTCGCGATATGTCACATGTCTATCTTCAATGATGAGTGCGCACAGCATCGACGTTTTCCTGGGTGACTGCCGTTTTTGGTGCACCCACCCTGGGATCGTCGCTAAGACTCACCCGTCCAAGTTTGAATTCTCCATACCAACGGGAAATTGTCGACTGATGTGGCGCTTCGTTGCCGAAAACAGACAGTAAGTCAGCAACGCATTCTTGTTGCGATAATTGTCTCTGAAAGTTGTAATAAATTATGGCGCGAAAATGTTCTCGGTTGAGTTCCTTTTTTCTAATTACTTGGTGACACTTAAAAATTCACTGTAGTGAGAACACTGCACGTATTGTTGTGAAACTTTGAATTTAAGTTTACTAAAGAGTGAGGTTAAGATTCAGTACTGACGTTCGATCTGCGCGGCCTACTATGTTTCTATATGCAAAACTTAAGAGACATCCCTCGTATATGCTTCAAATATGTACGAAATCATTTCCACTATTAGCATGATTTCAGCAACCACTCTGAAATATTAATAAAAAAACAAAAAAGTCTTGAGGCCATATTGAGAAACGACTAAAGGCCAGCTTTTATTTTAAGCAATCAGCTGCGCAAAGCAATTGGATATCTAACAGAATATATACTCAGCGACTTGTTTTTTGGCAATGAGGTAGTCTTACATCAAGAATGAAACGATAACATTTTCTCGAAATTCTATTGGTAATAAGAAAAAAAAATAATGATGTGTTGGGCGACCCTGCAGCTGAATACACTTCTGTACACGTCTAGGCATCGACAATAAGATGATCAATGTCAGGTTGTGGCACCTCATTCCAAGCAACTCGAACTTCGTGGATTAGCTGTCGCAGATGGTGCAATGTGGGTAGTCTCCTCCACATCATATCCCACACGTGTTCGAGGGGATTTGAATCCGGTGAACGGGGTGGCCACGGCGAAACATTAACTCTTCTTGAAGAAAGTCCGTAGTACGACGACCGATATGGGGACGTACGTTGTCTTGCTGAAAAAGGACGTGCGGACGGCCCTCTAGATACGGCAGCAAAGTGTTTTGTAGGACATCATCCAAGTAACGCATAGCCGTCATATTGCCTTAAACAAAGAGAAGGGATGATCGGGTGCCAAAGGCAATAGCTTACCAAGCCACTACTCCAACAGTCTTGTGTACATGCCTCCCAAAGGCAAATTCAATATCATGCCGTTCTCCACGGCGGCGTCTTACCCTTCTACGACCATCTTGCGTACCTAGATAGAATCGCGAATCATCGCTGAAGATTACATTATGCCATTCTAACTGTTGTCAGAGGAAGCACTAACCGTGGACGGTATGAAAAAAGTCCAAAGGCTCGAATGTGGCGATAGAGTGTACGCATAGTCACAGGTCTAGCTTCTTTTCCAAACCACTGGTCAGCGATGTGACGCATAGTAGCAGAACGGTCTCGTAGGACTAGTTGTCTGAAGCGCCTACCTTGACGCTCTGTGGTACGCCTCGGTCGAACAGTTGGCCTTCTTCGGGATCTCATACCGTCTTCTATCCACACATGACACACACGCATTACCGTCATCGCAGAGTAATGAACACGGCGGCCAATTTCGCTATAGGACAAACCAACAACTCGATAGGCAATAATTCTACCACTGTCAAGGTTGCTAACTAACTCGAGGCATTTTGTTATGCTTAACACTATGTCTCGTTGGATGCAATATAATGTTGATGTACTACCTTATTTTATTCTACAATCTCTAGTAATGATTCTCTCGTCTCGCACGATTCCATCTAAATCTTGTTGCAATGGTACATCCGTTACTGAACAAATTAATAGGAACGAGGAACGGAAGCACGTCCGCGATTTCCCCTTAATTCCACTTATTTACCTCTCCGTGCACTTTTCTATAAAGAATTTATCTGTTTTTTTGCGTTTCCTTAATTTTATCCTGTTTACAGACAGAGGCGACGTCTAAGAGTATTTACAGCAAGGAGTAAGATCGCAGACTAAAAAGATAATGTTTAGTACGTCGTTGTTTAAAAATACAAGGTATCCAGAAATTGATAGATAATCTTGCAACTGCAAACAGGTCACGTTGTGATGTACTATATAGCAACATTTTTTAGTAATAGTTAACGTAAGGCTCTTACTAAAAAAAGGTTGCCATTTAGTAAGTCGTCGCGTGACCTATTTTAAGCTGCAGGATTATCCTCCAATTTTTAGTACATGTTCACTCGGCGAATTCCCTTGTACGGTATGAGTGAGGATGATTGTTAGAGAAAAAATGACGTCCTTGAATGATGGAATATGATGTATGGTCATGCCCCGGAGCTCTAGTTCATCAAATTCGTGCGCATTACATTTATATTTCCTGATGAAAGAGCAACCCTCGCTTTTCTGGTTGACGGCTAGACACTCGTCAGTACGAAGCATATAATTCGTGGGAGCAGCTATGTCAAAAGTCATACAAAATAAGAAAACATTTCGTCAAAACTAAACTAAATCGTGAAGTATTTATCGTAGAGCCCTAAAAATTAAATATCTAAGTGATACCTTACCGATCTTGAGAACAACTTTTGCTTACATTACGCGGAGATCATTAGCGAATGTGTGATTTATAACTTTATTGAAAAACATATTTATATAAGGGTGCAAATGGATGATAGACAAACACAAACAAAAGTAAATTTGAACGCGAGATGATTTCATGACAAGTGATGGACAAAGAATTTATCCAAAAAGGATTATCTATCTGGCAAAACTGCATTTCCTTCTGACCAAATAAGAACAGCACGTGCTTAGACGCCTTCAACTGTTTTGGGCTATATCACTCATGTCTCTCTTATTTATTCGCCTTGTCTAACAGTCTTCTCCTGGTATAATTACTGTTTGTCTTTAATGCAACATCTCTATGCAACAATACCCCTTCCTCTTCTGCCGAGGTGTATAAAGTACTGTTGAAATTGTAAGACCAATGGATACGTGAACTAATAATTCATCGTTACTGAGCTCTCCTGGAACTATCCACTACTGTCTTCGTGTGGTCCTCGCCGACTGATGGAAGGTTTTAATCAAGAAATGAAATTTGCGGCAATATTCCAAGATACCAGCTAAATTAATCTTCTATACGATTTTCCAAACACTCCCTTTTACGCCACCCATGATGATGCCTGCGGGAAAGAGAGTCGACTAAATTATTCCTAGCAAAGCCTCTACTTGTTTTAATGTAGCTGCAGCGCTGCCAAAGTAAAACAAAAACTACGCGGTAACAGTCTTAGTTTGAAGCAAATCTCGCTGCGAGGTTTATATTTTATATCGGAGAGCTCGGGGGTATGAAATAGAAAGACATTATAGACATGAGTTTAATGACATTAGAGGCAGTGTTATTAAGCTGCCGTTTCACAACTTATCCGACAAAGTTTAACCACATATGCACTGTTACGAAAGAAGTTGGTTTCTCAAAAGAAAATGTAATAAGAGTCCAACAGAAATCGAGATAATCAAATAATACAGCTTAACTGTTCACTTACTTATAAAAGCTCTTCAAAACTGTTTCCATTGACTGCAATGCAAGTTATGGACGAACCCGTCCCCCATCCATTCCACGTCTGGGGCGCAAGTCTCCACAAGCACGTGCACGTAAAACAATTGAACTAAATGTTTCGTGATGTGGTATGTGCCTATTCGGAAATCGGTGTGCATAAAAGCGAGAAGCTGCTCGCGAATTTTGCCCTTCTTCTCCAAACGCTGAAACAATGTCCACTAACTCCTCAGTAGTGTACACATGTGCCATTTTTATTAATAAATGACTAAAAACATAAAGTCGCAAAATACTTCCACAATAATCGACCGTTCTTCATTCAGATCACCCACGATACAGATTAAACCTTATTTACACGTACTTATCAGTACGAAAAAACAAAAAATTCCTGGTAATTTGTTTTCATCAGATGTTTGGTACCTTTGCTACAATAAATTATTAATGCGGTTTATAACTTAATTTCTGTAGGACTTTTATTACTTTTTTTTGAGAAATCAACTTCTTTCGCAACAGTGGATATGTGGTTGAAATTTGTCGGATAAGTTGTGAAACACCCTATAATGTTAATTTTAATCCAGCTTTCTTAATCTGGGCAATACATGATTCCACAGATACAATAAATGACTCTGCTAACGTTTTGTGTACGATGGCACCCTTTATAATAAATAACCAGATAAAGAGCAGCTGTTAAAGTTGATAACACGAATATTGCAATTCATTGCTGATGGGATAACAATTGGGGATATGCTAACTAGGACTCTTCCTTGCTTCCAGAGTAACTATCTTGAATTGACTTTGGTATGTTTCTAATACATATCTCTTCATTACAAGAGCGATATTTCTTTGAAACAATGACATTTCCTCATATCAAGTCAAAATCGATGTCATAATTTCGCAGGAATCTGTGCTTTTGGATCAACAGATCCCTTTTTTCTGTATAAGTTCTCTGCTATCGGTAACCAAATTAAGTTCGTGCTGTTTTCAGTAGAAAAATATAAATTTTTATTGAGTTGCAATAAGACACTATTTATTTGTCGAAGTGATTA